AAAATGAGGATCTTCGGAATTATTCAGAAGGGAAAAACCCTAAGATGGTTTTCCATTTTGCAGTCAGGCTTTAACTTGGACATTAATGCACAAGTAATGGCCACCGTTTGGGGTCATGCGTGTAGTAGTCAGGCGTGGAGGCTGGGCTTACATTTGCTGTTGACCCCAGAATCGCCAGTGCTGGGAGAGGAGGGGTCACTGTCTAGCGGCTCAGTATGTTGTGTTTCCTGGAAGATGACTACCGCGGGACCCAACTGACTGGACGACCAAGGCAGTTGACTACGTTGGGCCAGATTCTCTAGCTCCGGTCTGAAGTGTTCCACGAAGGCATCGCTGGCGTCGGCCAGAAAAGTGAACATGTCGCTATGCAGGCGATCGGACATGGTGCGGTAGATCAATACATCAGCCACTGCGAAGACCTTCAAAAGGAGACGCCGTTGTCGGTTGGGGTTAGTGCAGGCGCCGAGAAGTCCTACAGTAGGTAAGATAAAAGAGGTGAGGAAGGGAGGGAATCAAAGAAGTTCTAGCAGTCGAATAGAAACAATTACACGAGCATAACAGTAACAACGTTCTTTTCCATCCCTAAGGATTAGCCGCTTATCTGGATTCATGGTCGCAAAAACAATTAAAATACTTGAGCACTATGTGTACACAGCACTTGTCTTTAGGGAGCTGTGCATTCTGGTCTGACTATTCGTATTCGTTCCCAGTCAGTATCATTAAAAATCACCAAAAAGTTGCTTTCAAATCGAAATGTAGTATTTTTAGTGGACGATGGGTTGGAATAAATTGTAACAATGAGGGACTGAAGAACATTTTAAGGACAGCGTGCCTTAGGCAGGCCCAGAAAACTTGAGGCGCGCGTGTCTAGGATCTTCCTACGTAGCAAAACGACTGCCGACCAGCTGCGACCGTATGCTATTATGTGGAATGTAGCTAGCTAAGATTAAGGACCCAATTGAATCTTTCATGCTGAAGGCTATCACCATTCCAACAAAAAATAAGGATACCCTCCGAGACTAGGCCGGATGCGCTGCTGGAGATATACGCATGAGAGCGATAGTTCGACAGGTACAATTATACGAAGCAATCGGTATAGATTGGCGAAAGGAATCCAAGTAAACTGGACAAAGACGCGAACAGCAAATCAGTCACGTCTGACAATTGTTTAAAAAATGCTGATAGTAGGGAATAGACGAATTCCAGGCAGCAGTCCAGAAGGAGAAGAGGCAAGAAGTTTATTAGCCTGGCGTTTCACATTCCTAATCGCACACATCATCAGCTAACCATTGGTGTCCTATGCAGTGGATGCCTAGAACAAATTTTAAAGGCATGCATTTCAATGGAAAAGAGGGAAGTGCATGTCACCTTCTGTGTCAAGGAGGAGATAGCCTCGTTCTGGTTCGTAGGCAGCCCAGACCCCAAGGGTGCAGGTATTTTGCGAAGCCGAAGTCACGAAGACATCCCGACCACCACAGAAGGCGTGATTCAAAGTGTGTGACTTTCCGTCTCCCGTGTTTCCTACGATTGCCAGCGACTTCAACTTTAAGTCCGGGGGACATCCTAGCGCCCGGCCGAGAGAGACTGCATCAGGAAACTAAAAAAGCATTGTTTTAAAACAAACTTTAAAGGCCAAGCTTTGTCTCCTAAAAGACTCGACATTATACAGCCAACAGACGTGCAAGCTATGACGCAAGTCAGGCAACCACGTCTGGTTACACTCTGTGAGAAGCTCAACGTGTCCGTTATGTTAAACTGCGTCATTTCCATTTTTGTCGCCTTGCCCTGAAGGAAAACATACTTCCCGCTGACAGATGGTTAAAAGAGATTCGAAAAAAGCCGGAGGAGGGCGGCATATCTGTGTGTGACACATGTCAAGTCAAGTCAAGTTTATTAAGGGAAATAAAGGCAAACGCCTTTGAACTCCCTCTTGGTACACAGTAGTTAGGAAATGCATCGGCACAGCCAAACGTTTCAAAGAAGGTCGATTGCATAATTGTAGGCGACTGCTCACTTGCTCCAGGTAATACAATCACATGTGGTGATGTCAGTTAACACGAGCCAGCAGGTGAAACTGAGCAAAAAGAGCAGACAGTGAAAAAAA